GGCACGCTCACAGCCATTGCAGTCTCAACCTGTGGGGCTCAGGCAATCTTTCTGTCTCAGCCTTCCAAGTAGCTGGAACTACAGACACGAGCTACCATACCTGGCTAATTTTTTATTTTTATTTTTTGTAGAGTCGAGGTCTAGTCGTATTGCTCAAGCTGTTCTTTTTTTTTTTCTTGTTATTGTTTTATTTAGTGGTTGTTTTTTTTTTTTTAGAGTCGGAGTCTCACTCTGTTGCCCAGGCTGGAGTGCAGTGGCATGCTCACAGCCACCGCAGCCTCGACCTGCTGGCTCAGGCAGTCTTTCCGCCTGAGCCTTCCAAGTAGCTGAACTACAGACTAGCACTACCACGCCCGACTTATTTTTGATTTATTGTAGAGATGAGGTCTTGCCAAATTGCCCAGGCGGGTCTTGAACCTGCAGGCTCAGGCAATCCACTCACCTCGGCCTCCCAAAGTGCTGGGATTACAGGCTGAGCCACCGAGCCTGGCCTGATACCTTTTTTAATCTAACAAAAAAGTCGTAGTAAAAATGTATAAATATGGTCACCGACTCTTCTCTAAATTCCAGACAGATTCATATAAATGTCTGCAAATCGGACTCCTTTCCCCCACAGTTCCTCCTTACTCCCATACACACACATTCCAGGCAATCACATGGTTTGTTAATTTATTTATTGTGTTATTGCTTATTTGTTTTCTTTGGAGACAGGATCTTACTCTGGCACTCAGTCTGGAGTGCAGTGGCACAATCACGGCTCATTACAACCTTAAACTCCTGGGCTCAAGTGATTCTCCCAAGTAGCTAGGACTGTAGCCACGTGCCACACCATGCCCAACTAACATTTTATTTTATTGTAGGGACAGGAGTCTTGCTTTGTCGCCTAGGTTCCTCTTGAGCTCCTGGCTTCCCGAAGTGCTGGGATTAAAGATATGAGCCACTGAATCCAGCCTGTTTCTTATCAAGTAAGCTCCAAGCCGTTATTACAAAAGATAAGATTCCCTGTCTCTGTGCTCTGACACCCTTGGGCCCATCCAAAAGAACTCAAGGAAGTTTGGTTAAACTATGTACCTTTCTATCATGGCATTTTATATCACCTGCTTCTAATTCTTCATCTTCTATCTCACTCTCCTACCTCATGGGCTGAGTCATGCTGGACCTGGTTTTCTCAGCTGTTATCTCCCCTGCCTAGCCTGTAGTAAAGTTTGCCACAGTTGTGATAATTGTTCACGTGACAGAATGTGCTTGGGAGACGGTCATCATCACTTTGGATGATTGTTGAAGAGGCTTCCTAGTGCAGTGGCTCTGAAAGAGTGGTCTCTAGGGAACTGGCATTTTCTGGAAACTTAGAAATGTAAATTCCTATCCCCTTCCCTTCACTCAATCAGACTCTGAGGGTGTGGCCCAGCAATCTGTGTTGCACCAAGCCCTCCAAGGGGATTCTGAAGCATGCTAAAATTTTTGAACCATTGCTCAATTTTTTTTTTGTCCTCTCACCCTTAACTTCAGTCATAAGCTGGCTTCAAACCTCAAGGGTCAGAATTTTAGGGGATATATATATATTGAGTTGGGGTCTCACTGTGTTGCCCAGGCTGGAATGCAGTGGCACGCTCACAGTCACCACAGCCTCGGCCTGCTGGGCTCAGGCAATCCTTCTGCCTCAGCCTTCCAAATAGCTGGAACTACAGGCGTGTGCCATCACACCCAGCTAATTTTTTTTTGTTTGTTTGAGTTGGAGTCTCACTCCGTTGCCCAGACTGGAGTACAGTGGCTGCTTCCGGCCACCGCAGCCTCAACCTGCCTCGACCTGCTGGGCTCCGGCGATCCTTCCGCCTCAGCCTTCCAAGTAGCTGGAACTACAGGCGTGTACTACTACGACCGGCTGATTTTTGATTTATTGTAGAGATGAGGTCTCGCCAAGTTGCCCAGGCGGGTCTCGAACCCGAGGGCTCAGGCAGTCCACTCACCTCAGCCTCCCAAAGGCACAGGATTACAAGGTGAGCCACCGAGCCCGGCTCTAATTTTTAATTTATTGTAGAGACAAGGTCTCAGTAAGTTGCCCAGACAGGTCTCGAAACCCTGAGTTTGGGCAATCCTCTTGTCTCTGTCTCTCACAGTGCTGGGATTACAGACATGAGCCACTATGCCCGACATAGATATATACATATTTTTTTGAGTTGGAGTCTCACTCCTTCGCCCAGGCTGGAGTGCAGTGGCACGCATGCTCATGGCCACCCCAGCGTCGACCTGCTGGGCTCCGGCAATCCTTCCACCTCAGCCTTCCGAGTAGCCGGAACTACAGATGCACGCTATCACGTCTGGCTATTTTGTATTTTATTGTAGAGATGTGGTCTCGCCAAGTTGCCTGGGCTGGTCTCAAACCCACAGGCTCAAGCAATCCACTTGTCTCGGCCTCCCGAAGTACTGGCTTAATAGCCTGAGCCATTGAACCCGGCCCTGACCTATTTTTTAATATTAATTTAATATTAATTTAAAATATATAATTCGAAGTGGCATTCTATGATTTCTTCAATTCTGTATTCCTCTATTTGTCATCTGTTAATCACAGGGACAACTAATAGCCAAAGTTGTTTATACCTCCTCTGCAATCCAGCTTTTGTAAATGTGTAAAAATCATATTACAAATTGACCAATGAATCCCAACTTCATAGCCCCAATCTCCCTCTTTATCTCTCTCACACCAAGCCAATATTTTATTAGACAACTAGAGACCATCCCTGTAACCCAGAGTCTGCTGACATTATTCAAACTAGCCAATCCCAAGCTGTTTTCCCTTCCCTGTCTTTCTTTTCCCATGGAAATACAAATTAAATTCCTGGCCTGAATTTTCCCCTCACTCCTGCTTCTGCGGGCTGATCACACCTGATGCTTCTCCCTGTGGCCCTGTATGGTGTGGATGGAAATGCAGGTGATAAAAAGTCTTCATTCAATGTATTGACTCCGGTGTGTCATCACAGTCATCTCCAGAAATTAAAATCCCCTGGGTACATTTTGAAACAGTAGCTAACAGAAATAGAATCAATGTGACATGACAACAACTGAGAAAATGAGGAAATTGGGACAAAGACAAAATACAAACAGGGAAAATTAGATGAAGCTGGGAAATGCTCATATGCAGCACCCAGTAAGACTTCTACCTTTGTGGAGGAGGAAGGGAAGTGTGATTTAGTACTTCATAACTGCCAGAGAAAAGAGAACGCATGATTACCTCAAGTAATCAGAGAATTACAAGATAGCTATCTAGCAGTTTAGACAAGCATAGCTCTTCCTGGTTTGGGGAACTGATAGATGTTTCTTTCCCAGATCTTCATATGGCAACTAGAGAATGTAACATCTTCCCTAACTCCCAAGGACAAGCTGTGGGTAGACATTTCTTGAACCATCTCAATTTAGCTGATGGCATAAACCCCAAAGCACATTTCAGTGTCCACATCTTTTGAGTGATGTACTTGAGGAGTTTGTTCAAGTGTTTCATCTTGTGTCTGCTTTTCTAATGATCTCACTTTTTTTTTTTTTTTTTTTAAGTTGGAGTCTCAGTTGACCAGACTGGAGTGCAGTGGCTGTTCCTGGCCACCGCAGCCTTGACCTGCTGGGCTCGGGCGATCCTTCCGCCTCAGCCTTCCAAGTAGCTGGAACTACAGGCGTGCACTACCACGCCCGGGTAATTTTTTTGATTTATTGTAGAAATGAGGTCTCGCCAAGTTGCCCAGGCGGGTCTCGAACCCGCAGGCTCAGGCAATTCACTCACCTCGGCCTCCCAAAGCGCGGATTACGGGTTGAGCCACCGAGCCCGGCCATGATCTCACTTAATCCACATAGGAATTGTACAGCATCTAGACTTTGTCTTTCTCAACGTTTACACTAGTATCCAAGAAATTAAATCTTTATTCTTAGGGGTTGATATTAAGAATTACACACCACTTTCTAAATATGAAAGTATATTATTGAATGAAATGTGGCTATACAAATCAGGTATTGAAGTTCTCCTTAAGTGTTATTTATTGTAGTCGAGCTGTTGGGGCTGGCAAGGATTTCATAAAGCAGATAGTTTATCAACCAGATAAAGGCAGCTCCAGTGCTTTAACAACTGGCTAGATGCAGAAGGTTTCCAGAGTGAGGAATCTAAAGGGCAGGACTGGCCCTGGAGGAAGGAAGGGAAAGACATGACCTGTGGGTGATGGAAGCCCTAAAGAGAAGGAAGACTCTGGTTCCTGGCAAAAGAAATGGCGTAGCTCCGACTCTTCACACTTGGGGGTGCCCCTTCCCCTCAGCCTCTGCAAGATTCTGTGTTTTCCAGTGGCAGGCAGGTGATGTGGCTTAGTCATGCCCCAGAGAACAGAAAGGCGGGGAACAGGCATGGACATGCAACACAAAATGTTAGGGGAGACTTATGTCAGACTCAATGCTCAGACCACTTCTAACTTTTCAGAGTCTGGAGGAGGAGCTGACAGGTTTGATCACGGTCAAGCCGCAGATGCCAGTTCAGGCGGACGGGTAGAGGTGAGGTCAGCAGCATGACTGGCGTCAGTGCGTGGGCCGAGCAAAGACCTGAGTCAGGAGGCAGAGAGACAAGGTCAGCAGAGGGGAGGCGGGTCCCGAAACGGGGGGCGGAGCCTGAGGAAGGCTGACGCGGAGAGGGGCGGGGCCAGAGGTGGGCTGAGGCCAGAGTCAGGCGACCCGAGCGGGCCAGGAGGGGTGGGGGACGGGGGAGGAGGGCTAGCTTCGTGGGGTTTGCGCCTGCGCAAGAGCGATTCGGGGGGCGGGGCTGCGCGCGCGCGCTGCACCGGCCCTGGAGGGCGGAGTCCAGGCGGGTGCCGGCTGTGGGAGGGGGCGCGGCGGCTTTGGAGTCCGGCGCTCCCTCAGGTCGTGGTCGCAATGCTGGCTGCTGCGG